CCGCTGAGAGGCTTATTTATGTTTGCTGACTGTATATACTGGGTGCAGTGCTAGGTTACGGCCGGTACACCCCAGTACAGGCATATCAGCACCTGCTGGGAGCAGCAGGCCCTGGTCCGATACAGTGCTGTGGAGGGCCCACCTACCCACCCGCCCTCCTTACCTGTATTTGACCCAACCGGGCCATTTGCGCATGCGCATGTGCACACAGTGTACGGCGCTTGCATGATGCTCGGCCGAGCAGCTGAAGCACCACAAGGTGGTGGTGTGCATGTGTGTACGCTGTGCACATGGTGGACGCCCGGCCCTGTCACAGCGTACTGGTTGCGACGGGATTCGGAACCCACCACTGACTGTGTGGACGTACATAATGGTATGCACTCTTTTGTTTATACTAAAACATAAGGCAATTTATAACAGCAAATAAAATACAAAAATCCATATCAGTACAATTAAAAATAAAAAAATATTTAAGGCAGAAACTAAAATACTGGTTAAAAAAGATACAATTTTGTCATTTTTTTAAGGACTAGGAGAGTAGAGACCCAATGTATTGGGGAGAATCTTCCATAGCCCTTTCCTGCATATTCAACTGCTGAATTTATGGCTGTGCCCTTATAAAAATGTGTCCTGCTGATTTGATTACTTGAGATCTAGTTAGGTTTCATTTTGATTCTTAGCAATAAAGAAATGTTGTTAGCTATAAAGAAATAACTGGAAAGTCTGGAAATAAACTGGTATGTCATTCTCCTGGTTAATTTATTTCTCAGTCCAATTACATTTTATATTTTCCCAACTTGGAATTCTAGTCTTTATCACAAGCAACATAAACTTGCATATTCTGTCAATTTCAGATTGAACTTGATCATAATGCTCTTCAATCCCTCTCCTCTTTTGCATCAGTATTTGAAGCTTAAGCTTCAATAACTGTCATATCAAAGGGTTTCTGAGAAGTCTAATTGATAATAGTCACTGACTGTATGGTACCTAAATATTGTCTTTGCTATATATTTTTTTCAACCATGAAAGCAGTATTCCTTTGTTGCTTTTATTTCCAAGTAGTATGTAGAATGCTTTTCTGTTTGAAAGTGTGTAATTCCAATTTATTTCAAGTCACTGGAATGTCACCCTGTCATTTATTTAATCCTTCAGTGCTGAGGTTTCCCATGCCTATTGTTATAATCCATGTTCTCACCAAATAGATCAGGGGTATCAAACTCACGTTGTTACAGTGGCTTCACATGATGTATCGGGACTTTCCTCCCCTTCACTAAACCAGGCATAGGCGTGGCCAGTGCATGATGCATCTGGCCCGTGGACCGTGAGTTTGACAGCCCTAACATACAGCATAAAATAGACATTTTTTAGACACCAGAAGATTGCTTGTTCATGTGAATCTGGCTACCATGGTTGCTTAAGCAATTTAACAATCTTGCATACAATTTTAAATATTCAAGGTTAAATATAGCTGCCAATTTGTATGTGTTGTGTGTTCCCTGCAAAACTAGCACCCTGCAATCTAGAGGTTGGTTATTTCAATAAAATATGATTCAACTGAGATAAATTAGCACAATCTACTATTTTTCAAGATGAAGATAGCCCTATCACCTGAACTGACCAAACAATTTGCCTTGGGTCTTTAACACAATTAATTCTGAGATGCTTAACTACAAACCAGGGTAAGAATGCCGATGTGCAATGTCTATGGAGATCCTCAGTTACCCAGGTCATGGTTGTCCCAAAGGTGCTTTCTTTCAAAAGGCAACAGGATTTTCCTGTTTTGCTAGAACACATTTTGCTTCTCATCCAAGAAGCTTGTTCAGTTGTGACTGAATTTTGGAGAATGGAAGGATTCAGGTGACTCTGAGGGCAGAGATAAACCTCCAGTTGACCTCAACTGTTATCACTGTGGGAAGTTATCATCCAGCCCTCTCCCAGAAAAATGAAATATCCTAAGAAATATTGAAAAGGCAGAATGTGTTCTAG